CTTGTTCTCGAGATCATCCTGAGTCCTTTGGTCAGAGGCTAGAAAGTCAGCAAAGTATTTGTCACCTGTTTTCCCAGCTTCCATGCAGAGTGAATTTCATGTGTTCTAGTGGTTGGGATGTTCTTGTTCCTGTTAATGTATATTAGTTTCTTGGGGTTTGATCATTAAAAAAAAAAAGAAAACTATTAAACTGACCAGCTGTGGTCCTTGGCCTTCCATGGCAATAAAGAGCTTTTGCAGCTGAGGGTTTTGATCAACTGCAGAAGGCTATTATTACAACTGTAGTCTTGTGCCCTACATATTGTATGCAACGAGAACCATGAGCACTGAGATTTGCCAAACCCCACAGATTTTATTTGTTAAAAAACCCCACAAATCATAAATGTTTCTTAGTGATTTAGTGAATAAGGGTATCTCCCAGTTAAGTAATCTCTCTCTTTAATTCTTTACACTGGGCTGAGGTTTTATGGAAAGCAGTTTCTCTTTCACAAAGGTATTCTCTTTTCTGTAGCTTTCTGACCTTTTGTCTTTTTTCTTTTCCTGCAAACTTGTAACTTCTTTAACTGTTCTTTATGTTCTCATCTGTTCCTTATCCCCAAGAGGAGCATTCTGGAATCTGCTGATCCGTCTTTAGGAAACATTCAGTAGTTCTGTCACACAGATTCCTTGCCTGTAGATTTACATTTTCAAGTAGCTAGTGAGTTAGCTGTAGCCCCTGGAAGCCTGCATTTGGTTTTAATTCTGGCTAACTTTTGTGTATGTTTTTACAAAACACTTATTTTTTAGTATTTGTAGTATTCAGTCTTTGTTTTGTAACCTTTACTTGATTAGCTGTGTTCATCCATCTGTCCCTTGTAATGTTTGATGGTACTTCGAAATTTCATCAGAAGGTAAGGTAAGGGTAAGCTATCAGAGTATTAAATTGATCTAACAAAAATGCCCAAGTTTGGGCTGGCAGAGGGAGAAGAAAAAGCTGCTGCTACATTTGTCTGGCCCTCTGGAAGCTGAGGGGTGGTGTGGTGGTTCACTTTGTGGCAAAAGGCCACAATCTCTTCAAACAGCCTACCCAGAAGACCAGAAAAAGTGTGGAGGATGTGGGTGATACCAAAGGTATCAACTTCCAAATGCAGAAGGCAAACTGTAGGAAAATATATTTCTTACTTGTGTGGGAATAATATTTTCATGATGAAATAAAACAGGAGTAAGACTGTTGAAATGCAGATTCTTCTGTAGAGCCTAGTCTGTAGCAAATCTGGTAATATTAGAGTAAGTACCTTTCTTAGTGCAGAATGGTGAACTTGTGAAAGGGGAAAAATGTTCTTATTTTGGAAACTGTGATATAGTTGAAAAAAGGCAAAAGGAGTTGATGGTTTTACATCGTGGTTGTGTCCTATTTTTTGACGAAGTCTTGCTTCTGAGGTGTTCTTTGAAAGTTGTTGCCATATATGTTACTGCAGAGATGAATAGCTTGAATTGATGGTGATCTTGCAAGTGCTTGTACATCAGTGTCAGAAGTGCAGGTACTTTGCTTGTGAAATTTGCTTGTGACATTTGCTTTAGCTGGTATCTGCTATTTTTAATATTTGCACCTTATTTTTCTTAAATATTTTATATAAATCCTAGGGATACTGACTACAGTGAAGTGTTTTAATATTGTTGAAGGAAAATCACTGTGATTGTAATGCAATGGATATTTTAGAACCAAGGAAGAATATTCAAGATGTTCCAGTAGAAACTCACAAGTAAATACAGTACTGCTTAAACTGAACATCTGCATTTGAGCTATTTGGAGAGGTAGTTGTACCCAGAGCCTGAAACTTAGACAGTATAAGATAATTAAAATTGCTTGGGCTTTTCATGCAGTCACTTAGGCTAGGTTTAAAACCATCAAGTCCAACCATTGTTAAGTACTAAATATTTTCTAATTAAAAATACAAAAGCAAAATTCTGTAAATACAAACATTTTTTTTTAAATTAAAAAAACAACCATGGAAACTGGTACTTCACAACAGAGATTCTTAAAAAACTGTAGATGAGTTTATAAATATCCTTTGCTGTAGTTTCCTTTATACTGTTGTATAATTACTTTTGAACTACTGTTGTAGCTCTTCTCATTCTTCCTACTGGATGCTGCCCAGTGTCCTGATGTACCCTCTCCTTCCTGCATTTTCAGCATTTGTAGACTTGACAACATGGGAATAAAAAGAAGGAATTTGCCTGGAGCACAGTTCTGTCACGGTTCTGGTTGTGCTGGTGTTAACACCAGTAGAGCTACTCCTTGCTATCAGTCTTAGCCTCTTTCTTTTGAATAATCAAACAGAAGATTGGGTGTTTAACCTAAGAGAAAACCCAGCAATCTTTTTTGACTGTTCTGGGCTATCAGGGAAGTCCTTTTTTGGGTTTCTTTTTCTTTGCTTGCTTGCTTGCTTGCTTGTTTTTCCCGGATGACCCTGTGTCCTGTTTCCTTTCGAGCCTTTAGTTGCATTCCTACCCACTTCTCCTCTTTGTCAGTAGAGGGATGGCTGATCTTGCACTGGAGGCCTGTGCTTTGTCATTGTGAAAATCGTGGATGCTTCTGGCCAGCTTTGCCAGCAGGGGAAACCCAACTGCTCTTCCCAGGCCCTAAAGACTTCTCTCCTCTCTGCTACATTTCCATGTATGCTGTGGTATAAAAGTGGAACCTGTGCAGAGTCAAGGGTTGGACTTGGTGATTCTTGTGGGTCCCTTCCAACTCAGGATGTTCTATAATGCTAATTATGGGAAGTAGATAAGTAGATGTAATTAGTCCAAAGTGTAAATGAGCTGAGAAACACTTTTTCACATGTATTTCAGTTAGTTTTCTGTTTTGACCTGCTAACTCACTGCTAGGTTAGGTGCAGAAGAATGATGATGTGATGGGGGTGAGTGAGGGCAATGTGGCACTGGTAAAACTTCCCTTTTGGTGACAGGTAGCAACCCACTTGATTCACTATATCTGCGTTTGTATCTGTGTACTCCAAGCACCAGTATAGCCAAGTTGAGTTTAGAAAAAGAAAGTGTGGGGTGCAGAAATTTAGGCTGTAATTTGAGCCAGTGGTACTCATGATACTTCAGTCTTTCTTCTTGTCCTCATCTCACTGAATTCCCTCGTATGGGCAGCTTTGGAGTTATACCGTGAACAGGATCAGGGAATTTGCCTAGGTGAAAAATTACCTAACAGGAAATTTATTTACCTTTAAAGGAAATGAACTTCCCCTTTCATTGACCACAGGGCTGCTGAGTCTGTCTGTGTGGGCAGAGGGAAAAGAGCATTGTAGGGATGGGGAGAGGGCAGGAAGGCTGCAGTGCCAGCTTGCTTTGACTAGAGTGAGTGGGGACAGGTAGCGTGGTAGTGCCAGTTCCTGCCATGTCATTCAGCTGAACTGATTTGTCCTGTTAACAAAACATGCTTGGAAGTCTACTGACAGCTTTGTGTTGTCTGTAGCCTATGTACTGTAACAAGTGTTTGGTACAGTAATTGCACCTGCAGAAAGTTAAAATGAGAGATATTTGTAATATTTTATCTGTAAAATAATATATTTGTAGAAATCTGGTATTTGTAATATTTTAATATGAAAATCAGTGCATTGAAGCAAATCTAAGTCATGAGCTATTTGTTTTTAGTGTTTCTGTTGTATGTACAGAATAGAGGGTTTTTTTTCCTGCTGTAGAAATGCTAAGAAGGATGTTTTTGAGGAGAAATGTCTTTAGTTCAGATTCTGTATATTGCTCATTGTAATTCTCTGTTGTTGCTAGATTCCACTAGTAATATCACATATGCAATACTGTGTAATCTCATAATGTAATCTCTTAGCATTAGTAAATTTTAAAAGATGTTGACTTAAGAATGACAAGTGTTGGTTTCAGTTGTTTTTTGATGGAGAAGAAACCAAAAATGCTAATAAAAATAGTGTTTGAAAGCTGTTACTTAAAATCTTCTTCTTTCCTTAGTTTCAATATATTGCACTTTTACTTTTTTGTCATTTCATCTCCTTTTCTTTTTAATAAGTGATTTTAAATTGAAATTATTGTCACCCAAAATAACTCTATTTGATGGTAGAGTTTTCATATGATGCTATTTCAGAACTGATGCTATTCTGAAATGTGATATCAACTTCAAAGGATGAAAAAATAGTGTGTTTGAAGATGAAAACCAGGTATTTGGTATAACTGCATTGGACTGCTGTGTTCTGAGCAAATGTCCTTTAAAGGGTTATAAACTCAGAAAGGGTTATAAACTCAGAAAGCAAAACCTGTTCTTGATGAATTCCCATCCCATTGTTTTGAAGAAAGTGGATTTGGAAAAGCAGCATTTTTTTTTTTTTTGTAATGGTCTGTGTTTATTCTAAATCACTAGCTGTACTCAGAAGAATTCTGTAGACAACTGAAAGCAAACTAAAACTTTGCTTTTAAGTGTAGAAATCAGGCAGCAGCATTAAGCTGAATTTCTGAATGAAAAAGCTTCTAGATCGTCCATTGAATAGACTTAATTTTCTTCTTAAGAACTGAAGTGTTCCACATAGCCATACAAATTCTAAGTTGTGCTGTAGTATGTGCTGTTTTTCTCGACTTTGTGTCAGTGAATGAAAGAGTACATACAGATCATGCGTATAGAAAAATATTAGTATCCAGAAATAAAAGTATTTAACTGCTCTGCTGTCTGTGTGTAGATTTTTTTATTCAATAAGGCAGAAATTCACATGTGCTGCCAGAATTTGCTCCTTTGTTTTTGGTTCACAGTGCATATTAAGCAGAGTAGAAATATTCAGGATAATGCTCATATTTGTATTTGAGCAAATTTTGGACTTTCCATCCTTTTGATCTGTGTGGCCCTTTCATGGTACTTTCTGCTGCTGTTTGTGACAGTTTCAGTCTACTCCTGTATGTTATATAAACAGTGCTGTGTTATTTCTTTAGATTGACTTTTTCTGATGTATAGATAATTTTTTTTTTCAAAATTATATTTTTTTTCACTCTTGCAGAAAATGCTAAGCTGAGGCATGTAGAAAAAGATGTTTTGATTCCACAAATAATGAGGGATCGAGCCAAGGAGCTGTGTTCAGATAAGGTGCAAGGTAAGAGTCAAATATTCATTAGGAGATCGGATGTACTCACTTTTGTGACCTGAATATAATCCTTGTTTTTGAAATCATGTAGTCAGAGAATTAGTGTGTGTGATCTCCATCTTATCAGCTCACTGTGAAAACAGTACTGAAGCATATAAATCTGCTGTGTTGACTTTGGCTGCTTGGTGATGTATACTATTTTCCAAAATTACTTACTCTCAAGGGCTGTAGAATCTGGTATGATTATTACATATTTTTTCACATCTCAGTCTGGTGGTGGCAGAGCAGCACAAGAGTTACTGTGTTTCTGTATGAAGTATTTAATGCTTAAATAAATTGAACTGCCTCATACAAACCTTCAGTTAAAGCTTCTCTCATTATAACAAATTAGTTTAAATATTCCCAACGTACTGCATCCTTTCCTTGCCCCAGCATTGAAACGATCCATGCACATGAACACACACATGTTACTAGACAGATGTTGAAATAGGGTGATGTAGTGCCCTTCTGCTTTCATTTTCTTGTGAAGAGTACTGGACTCTTTAAATTAATAACTCTTTAATAACTCTTTGAAGTGGTGTCACCCCTCTGCTGAGAGCTGCTTACACACAGGTTAGCCAAGAATGCTGGTATAAGAGGGATTTAAGAATGGATGAAAAGCCACTGAATTATTCTGTACACGTGTTGGCTTTCAGTAGAGGGCATTTGCATCTGGTCATCCAGATCTGAGCTCTTTAAACTTCTTTTGTTCATGCACCCCATCAGTAAAAAATTTCTGACTGCACAATCCCAATATAGGTGTATTCATTTACAAATTGTGTAAATGTATCACTGTACTGTGTGTTATGTACATTACAAAAACCATAAAAATAGAAGTTTAAAAAAGGATGCAATAAAGGTGAAATAAACAGTACGTTAAATATTTTAAAGTATGTGTCAGTCTAAAAAGATTACTGTTAATAACAGTACTTTTTATTGAGATCTGTATGACTGGACATGCATCATAGTTTTTAAAATCTTTAACACTGTGATGTAGGAATTTGAATACCTGGTTCTAAATTCAGTGTATTTCAACACTTAATCTGAATAGGTGCCTGGAAAAGATACCTTACAGAGGTGCATAGATCCCCGTGGAAGGAGTACACAGTTGCTCGCACTTACTAAATTTTACTTAACTATACTCATTTTTCAGTCCTATCCACAAGTTTTGCAAATGGTTTACTTGAAATTGGGCTAATAAATTATCTTCTCCCCTGATGTCAATCAGTTTTTCCTCCAAACTAAGGAGAAGGTGTTGCACCTCAGTGTTTTCAACCCCCTAAAACTCTCCATGGGAAGATTTTTAACAGGTTAGAAAGTTCTTTTGATATCCTTTTGAAGCGTACAGATATAGGAGGCTTTTGTAGGTGACACATATTTTGTTCACTAACAAAACCAGACCAAAAATTACATAATTAGGTGAACATATCCAAATTCCTGTTTTCAAAATGCTTTCTCCAAAATGCAAGTTTCTTTTGCAAAGGAGTTACTTTCTTAGTCATTATTAAAATGACACCTTCACCTTAAAGGGACACATTGAGTGTTTAGTTTTTGGAAATTCCTGCTAGGTAACAAACTGCTCACAGCCACTTGTCATCACTGAAAAGGTCAGTGGATTCGAAGCACTTGTCAAACCTGACACATTTTTTTTAGAAAAGAGGGCTCTTTGAAGCACTTTACCACAAGTTACCCAGAAAACAAACCTCTCTGTGCTACCTATCTCTGCTAGGGATTTTTGTGGTCCCTCCCCATCTCATTACAAAGTCTGGTAAAGATGCCACTGTTTGATGGCTTGTTTTTGTCAAGTTATAATATCGATGCCATCCTCTAGCACATTGTGCACTCCTGGCTCCAACTATGCTGCAATAGGTCACCCCTGAGTGAGGCAGTGAAGGAGTTTCATGTGCAGTGCTCTTTCTGTAGCCTTAGTCTGGAATCCCTTTTTATTCCAGTCAAAGCTACATTTGCACAGTTTTTCCATAATACATTGTTTTTTATTCAAGATGCCACTTTCTTTTGGGAATAGATCTTCTCTAGTACATCTTTCCTGTAGTGGCTCACAAAAAAATATATATTTTTGTGCATTTCATGGTTGAAATGCAAATACCACAAGGTGTGAGAGGTTAAAAACTTCTGTACTTCCACTCAACTGTATAGCAAACCTCCCACACTATGTAACTTGTTTTAACACTTGTTTCTTCAAATCTTTAGCAGGGTCTTCTATGCATCTTCCAACAGCATTTACTGACAAAGGAGTGCATTTTAGTTTGTTGCCATACTCTTTTCCCTGAATTGTTTCAGCAACTTTTACCATGGCAGGAAGAACAATTGTTTCCCCAGTGGCATGTGGCTTTTTGTGTTTTGCTGTTATTTAAGAAACTTCAAAGGAAGTTTCTGGAGTTTTATCACTAGGGCACTTTATGACTAGAGTCAAGTCTAGAGAAAGTGGACCAGGGTATTTTTAAGCAGCTGCTTTTAGACGTTCTCCAAAAAATTTTAAAAAGTAGTGTTACAGTAATACATGCCAAAGGACAGTGGTATCATGTACTAGGTGCCTTCCAGTGCTGCCAGAAGGACTTAACAGACCTTTTTTTTTTCATTTGAACAATAGTTGAATCATTTTTACTTTGAATTCTATACCTGTTGGGGAAAAAATGAAGAGGAAAAGCAATTGCAGTAGTGTGGGTCATTTGAAAGATGTTGATTAAAAGTATTTTGAGAGCTTGGTATTTTTATAATATTGTTTGAGGTTAACCAAAGGCACAGTGTGAATGCGTTTTTCTCCTCTGAACTTTGTGTAACATGAGGACTTTGGTTTCAGCATCTTCATTTTCTGTGGCAGCAGCCAGTATTGGAGGTTCTTGAGCTGTGAGCTGTGGACCATTACCTTGCAGCTTCTCCATCTTCCTCCCTCCATAAATTTTAAAGGCAAATGTTATGCTTTTTCTGTGATGTTAAGCAAAATTATAATTTCTTCCTTCTTTCTCCTGTGTAGAATTTAGTTTTGTATCTTTAGGAAAATAATGTTTGTGGGTACATCCATCTCCCTGTCATTCTTCTGTCACCTGTAAGCCAACTTTGATCAAATTGTGTGAAAGTTAGAAGTGGTAACTGAGTATTTCTGAAACAATGTTTTTTATCAAATAGGCGAGCAAAACCCCACATTAATACCTCTATTAAAATAAAAAGGTGGTTGCAGAACTTCAGTTATTTTGTTGTACACCTTTTCGTCTGGGTGAAGGGGAAAAACCAAACCATGGGAAATGAAGCTTAAGCAGTTTTGTGATCAGTAGATTTACCATCTCATAAATCCATTGTGAGATTATTCCTGGAATAAATTTGTCTTGTTAGTACACAGGGATAGGTGTTAATCAGAGTAAAGAGGCTATGCTTTTTATGCTGTAAACAATTATAAGCTATGAACATAAGCTGTGTAATTAAGTAATCAAAGCTCTTGTGACTTGGTTTGTGTGCTGTGGAGTGTACACACATGCATGAAATGGAGTTGTTTACACTGAGGGCAGAGATACTCATTTAACTTGCTCTCAATGTAGGATTTTTCTGCTTTATGTTAAGTCCATGTTTCAGAAACTCCTATTAGTAGACCTCTGTTTCTTTTTGTCTTTAGGAAATTGTGATAAATGCATCAGTACTGTAGGAAATAAAGCTATTCCACAAGTATGGGCCCTTACAATTGGCTTGGTCAGGCTGGGTTCACATGTGTCCCTATGGGGAGCCCCTGTACATTCAATAGTGCTCTGCATGAGCACAGGGTCCATCTGTACCCAGCCCGGTACCTTAGCCTGCAGCTATACCACCTAGAGCTGTGTGCTTATCAGAGCTAATAATGCAAGTAATGACAGCCTGTCCAGCACGTGTTCCAGAGCTGTCCAGGGAAAAGAAACCCCAAGGGTTACAAAAATAAATAATAAAAAAAGGTCTTGTTAACTTAAGAAGTGATCCTGCTTCCCAGCACACAGTTAAATGGCTGGCTCTTTGCTGTGCTTGGCTGTCAGCCTACCAAAATGGCTTAGGGAAGAAATAACCATGGAATGTATGTCCACTCTGGCCATATTTCATTTTACTTATATTATTTAAATTTGCTTACAACTTTTTTTTCAGATTGTTCCAGTATAATTTCTTGTGTGCTGCATGTTTCTTAAGAGTTTTGTAGCTCTCAGTTTCAGAATGATTTTTGTGTGATTTAAGATTTTCAAGCACTTTTTTCAGTGAAAATGGATATATTAGTAATTTTGTCAACTTGGGTAGCAATTCTGTTAACATGCTTTCTGGGAAACACTAGTCAATTTTCTGACTATTATGTAAATATGCTTTATTTTGTTCATATCCATGCATTGTAGGTGAAATTGTGGACAAGAGTGTCAAAAAACAAGCAAACAAAAAACCCCAAAAGATTGTCATACAGGAACATTTCACTGTATTTTTACAAACTGTAGCATGAGTTTGCCTGAAACAATATTGAATTATATATTTCTGTATCACAATGTCCTTGCATTTCAAACCTAAGTAACTAAAAGGATCATTTGTTAGCCATTACCTCACTTACTGCTTTTATGAAATAATTTCTTAAATAAACTGTTTTCTTGTTTTGCTTTAATTTCCAGTTATAAAATTTAAATATGAGTAAGCTTCTTCAAGGCAAAATCATAGCAAATTTCAGGAACCTGGAGTTCACAATTCTTTTTCATCAGAATGGTGGCCTTTAGCACATCAAAAGTTCTATAGTTTCATCCAGCTGTGCTTTCCTTTCCATGAGTCCATGCCCTAAAACTAGGGACAGCTTCATGCTCTAAAACTAGGGACAGTCATGGAAAAAGTTGCAAGAGCTGTGGGTGTTTTTCTTGATCATTTCTACAGAGAAGTTTGTCTAATTTCTTGAGAGCACTTACTCTGCTGTCCAAAGTTACAGATACTGAAACTGAACTTAATGGGGTTTTTTTTGGTAACAG